TTTTTTTAGTTTTCTCACCATTGTTTGGCGACCTCAAGGTGCGGCAAAGTCAGACTGAGGGGAGAGTTTCCCATCCTTCTGGCTGTTTCAGGGGTTGAAAGGATCTTCACAACTTGCCTGTACTCTTTTTGGTGGTGGGAGGTCCTTGTACGTGTCCTCGGTAGAGATCTCTATTGTTTGCCTCTCTTGTGATCTGTTTCCAAGCCCCAGAAAAATGAAGTTGGTAGATTTCCTATTGATTTCTCTGCTGGGAAGATTAAGCGTTTTGCTTTGTTGCAGAGAGGAAATGCTTAAGCAGCCATGGAGGTGCTAAACTATTTTCTGCAGACTTCAAATGGCAATGCTCCTTGTTGTATGTCCAGTTTAAAATATAAACGTCTATCTTAATTGCTTGGCCTAGAAATCTGAAAGGAACACAGTCAACTTAAATACCATGCTTCTGTGAGAAGTAATTTAATAGATATCGTCACGGGTTCACCTATGGTAGCCATACATCAAGTGTTACCTGGGAATAATCCATAGGTTTGAATATTTGTGCCGTAGGGTAAGTAACTTGAAAGGTGTATTTTTATTTATTTATTTTTAATCCTGAATTTAGTCGTCAAACTGCTGTGGGCAACACTCGGGCTATAACAAGATAGGCAAATGTATTATGTGGGAAAGGAGCCATTCTTTCTAATCGTTTGAATGGAGTAAAATGTAGGTATTTTACTTTTAAAAATGTATTCTTTTGGAGATTTATTTTGGCACTGTGTATTGCTAAAATAGGCAACGTATCTTTTCCCCACTTTTTATATGAGACGATGCTCCAGGGTTGTTAATTTTGCCTCTCTGCTCTCCTGTCTTCCTTCTCTTAGTCCTCTCAATCCACATAGTTTGCTGTTAATCATCTTACACAAAGTATCTGGTACTAGAAGGCACAATTCTTTCACTCGGGCCGAGAGGCCGTCTTTACTGCGTTACCAGCTGCAGTGCTCTCAAACGGGCAGAAAAAGGCAAGTTAGAGATGCACCTTCTAGACTAACTAAATCAGAGATGCATAAGCTCTTGTAAGCCCAAGCTCATTTCATCAGAAGCTGTGAAAGGACGTGCACCAAGCAAGCAGGATGCAGTTAAGACTTGAACTGTAACTTACTTATTTTTTTCACTGCACGCTTGTACCATATGCTACATGCACATCATTTCCAATCAACTCAAGTTAACTTTAGAACAGTTTCTGAACTTAAATAGTTTGCACCAGGTCTTTGCAAATATTGTATATTGTGACCAAAATCAGTTTTGAGGCAGATTTTTCTGTGCAGATCTTCAAAGAGATGAATAGCACTGAAAATACCTGGGATTACGTCCTTTCTTGGATATACCTTCTATTTTTTAAGGTAGTATTGGTCGGCATAGTGTGTGGAGAGAGATAAGGCACCATATTGCCTTATGAAATGCCACAAAATACGTGCTCATATTTCTGCACCTATACCACATTTTGGACTCTCAGTGGTGGTAGAGTCCTTGTCTGCGATGTTGGAGACCCACGTTCAATTCCTGGATGTGCGTGTATCTGCAGCCATTAAGGAATCGGACGTCTAGCCTTTGGTCTCAGGCGGGGTGAAAGGTCTGGACAGCCACCCCTCATATCTGCCTGTGTGTACACGTTGAATGTCCTGGTGACTTCTCATGCATGCGTCATCGTATATCCGGGGCTGGACTCGACGATCTTCCGGGGTCCCTTCCAGCCCTAATGTCTATGAAATCATGATCCAGAAGGATCAACAGCTGCCTGCAAACTTACTACATTTTGGAAGTTTTAGGTCTGTTATTTAATGGGGATCTGTTTGGCTGTTTTAGACAATTTGAGATCCTTAGTACTTCAGGTGTAAAATTGGATGCTTCTGTATTAAAGTGCTCTATAATGTCAAACGAGGATCTTACATTACAGAGCCCCCTTTAATGTCAGAACAACTTTTCTCAACCTAGAGAAGAGTGCAGAAAAGAGGGTCTGATTCGAAACCGCTGTTATAGCCATCCCTAAATTAAACTTGGCCAGCAAGCAAGGCTTTACTACTTTATGTTGAAGTTAAGGACTAAACATAGAAGGATTCAAAAGATTTTTGCCAGACATTGGCACCTAGCTTCTGCTTTGAGAGGACAGATCCTAGAAATAACTGGCACACAGTGGGATGAAACATGTTGACTTTTTTTTTTAATAATTTAGATTTAAATAACTAAAAAAAGATGCCTATGGAAAGCTGTAGGTGCCTTAACTTTTGTTTTCTCACCAGTGTGAAGCATAGTTACTAAGTGTCTTTCAGCAGGACTAGCGTATTGGCGGAAATGAGGTCTTTTATGCATACCCCTGTTGCGGTGGTTGGTTAATTTGGGGACCCTCCCCAGCAAATCATCGGGTGCACTTTGTTTCTCCAACTAGGCTTCCAGCTTAATCGGAACAAAACTCTCTCGCTCCTCCTCCTCTCCTCTCTTGCAGTTGAGTTTATCAGCATTAAGTTGGATTTGGTGCAAGCCAGAGTGGACTTCCTCGGGAGATGATTTATGCAATGAATTGTATTTCAGACTTCTTCCAACTGAGAATCTTAGTAAAATCTTGCCTTGCTTTGTGGGGTGTGTGGCAACTTGCCTTGGTTTTAACTCCCCATGCAAGACTGCACCTTCTCTTTCATGGATGACTGACAACAGCGTTGTCATCCAGCCAGACGCAGCATGAATTTGCTGTTAGAAGTTCCTCCGAGCTGCTGACATCTGCGTCAGCAGACAGACACCCATCAAGTCCTCCACTCCCTTCACAAGACTCTTGTGATGTACTCATTTAGACAGCCTTAAAATTCAAGTCCTTTGGCCTTGGATAAATCTGTCACAGCTGCCCCATTTCATTTGATTGGAGCTCTGAGCTGTATATCTAACATGCGAGCTTTCCTTCCCACTTCAATGCACCCCTGTCCATATCCTAACAGACAACACTAATAATTGCACACACTGCACAGGGAGGTCTTGAATTGGAGCACTACCACTAAGCTATTGCTCAGGGGCCAAAACAGAAGAAGGGAGATCCAGTGCCCTCCAGCCCAAGGACGGGGGAACGAATGCATTGTATTCAATTCCAGGAAGGAAGCATGAAGGTGCTCGCTCTGTCCCCGTCTCTGCACCTGGAGCAGGGGCTCAACTTCTTAAAAAAAGCAGCTGAGAGGGTGACAAACCTTTCAGTGACACACTCACAGCACAGGGAGGTCTATTCTGAAAAGCTTATTCTGAATTAATTATTCCAGAAACGGGGAGTCCCTGCAGTAGGCTTTATGTAGATGGGTAGACATAGATGTAGAAAAAGTAAAACTGATGGAAGCAAGAACCCATATCTTGGTTTTGAGGAGGACTTCATCCAAGTTCGTTGGCAGCTGTTTTACTGATTTGGTGGGAGTCTTGCACCCTCATTTTGTTATTTTTCAGAGTCCTTAGGAAAAGATATTAAACCTCACATAACCTGGATTCTTCATAGGATTAGGTTCCTTACCCCATGCAATGATAAGGAATAGTGAACTAGTTGTGGGTATATGCATCTGCTAAGATGCTCTACCTCAGGGGCGGGCAATTATTTTGGGCAGAGGGTCACTTTACTGAATTTTGGCAAGCCATTAAGGGCTGCATGACAGCCAGCCAGGGACAGATAAATATTAATTTTCTAAAACTTTTAGGGGTCCTGCGGGCCGGATAGAATAACCTGGCGGGCTGCATCCGGCTGACAGGCCGCATTTTGCCCGCCCCTGCTCCAGCTGGTTGCTGCAGTTTTTTAAAATTATTTCACAAGGCACCACTTCTCCTTCCAGCTGTATGGGAATGCTGATGAGCTCCAGGTGACAGTGAAGTGGTGCCTTCTGGTATAAAAAAACTACAGCAAACGGATGAATGGCTCATCCTTAATTTGGTGACTTGCCGCAAATGAAGCAGGGTGTTGAATCATCCAGATATGAAAAACCCTGGTTCTAGTGGAACAGCATCTCCAGTCTCATCATGTTCATGATTGTTTCCAAATCGAATGTACCTACCAGTACGTCTGTCCTCCTTACTCCTGAATGCTTTGAACATGCTTTCTTCAACCCCTGATCTCGTGCTTCTTTTGGACCTCCCAACTTTTACAGCTGACAGCTTGAGGTTAGCTAGTCGAATCCTTTCTGAATAGAAGCTAAAGATATTTTCCTTTAGAGAATGAATGCGTGCACAAAGCTAATATTAAAACTAAATGGGAGTGTTTTTTCCATGCGAGTCACTGAGAAACATGTCTCTTCCCCAGATTGCTGTCTTTTGTTTTGGAATATATTTGATGGGAACTTCCCTGCCAGTTCCCTGAGTGTATTTGGTCACAGTCTCCCCATTTCCTCTTCAAGTTGGAGCAGGTGATTTTTTAATCCCCCCCCTCCTCCCTTTCCCATCTCGCCTGTGCAGGATTTGAATGTGATATTTCTAGTTTTAATGGACCATCCCATTCAATGTGTCATAGCATTTGCTGTTTCATCATCCCATTGACAACCAAGTTGTTGGTTTGGCTCCAAGTCAAATAAATGCAGGCTTTGATAGCGAGGTTAGCAGCTCCACTATTCCGCGAGGACAGAAGTTTACTCAAGTTGTACCCAAAATCCTTATAAAGTTTGTCCTTCCCGTTGGGGGCTCTCAAAAGGGGGTTCAGCTGACATTTAATATCCTCTGCCCTTGAACTGCTTCAAGGGAGCACTTGATTTTCTGTCTGTCTCTTTACCGATGACTACTGCATTGTGATGGCTTCTAGATGTCCTTCATTCTGTTCTTATTACCCATTTCCTTGAGAGGTAAGTGTTTAGTTGCCAGTGGTGGGGTATGTACTGAATTGACTGATCGAGGCTGCTGCATCCTTTGTACCCCGTGGTCCTGAGCACACAGAGATCACCTTTGCACTGCTGGCTAAAAGACGCCAGCCTTGTGTGCAAGGGGCACCCACACCTATAGTGGGACCCATGTGGACAAAGGTTTGTTGAAGAACTCTAGTTCCTATAAAGTAATGAATGTGTCTGCCTTCTGCAATGTGTCCTGTAAATTCATCTGATTTGGGGCCAAAAAATGGAACAAATTTTGAGGTCTCCTTAAAGATAATTAGCATACGTTTTTATTAGTACAGTATAAACAATTTTCAGAAAAGAAGTAAAAGCAAAGTTTTACTTTGGGAAAGTTGCCTCTATTGCTTGCTTTAAAAGTTAGGTGTTTATGCAAAACTATTCCCCCCTTCCTTTTTTTTTTTTCCATTTTCAATTTTTTGGGTTTTTTTGTTTCTTACTCAGGTAAACAGCAACAAACAAAAAATGGACACTCAGTTATTCTCTCCTTTGTTAGGAGGGATTACTAGTACACCGCCACCTCTGGAATCGTCCCGGTTATATAGTCATTGGTCTGTGTGTGGAGACGATGCCAATAAAACAACAACTTTACAAGACTGCACAAAAAAAAGGTATGAAACGCTTAATTTTCTGGCATATGTCTGATGGACTGAAAGTCTCATGGAGCAGGAGGGTAGGTGGTTGGCTCCCAAGTCCTGGAAAGAAGAAGGTATAGGATAACTGCACAAGTGCAATAGATTATGTATAGTAGTTATTTTTAGCCAAGGGTTTTGGGAAGTGTGGATCTAGATATAGATCTTAAATCTAAAATGAGCCTCCCCCACTCCCCCATACTGACTGGGGGGAAGCTCATCTTGGATTTTAATAAATATGGAACAACATGAAATCCAGGATGCTGCCCCCATGGACACCCCTCTCCCCTCCACTGTTGCAGGCAGAGGCTTGGATGAGGCACTGTTGGTATTACTATTCGGGCAGCTAAGGGGGCAGCGGGCCATTAGTGACTGATTTTGTTTTCTTTACAGGTGTTAACAATGCCCTTTTATATTGGCCTTTCCACTAATTAAGCTAATGACACAATTTGGATGTCTGCTAGGGCTTCCTATTTCACAGCTCCTGCTGCCCTGCTTCCCCACCCCACACCTGGGACATGCTCTAATTTTCACCAGCCAGCTGGGACTGGTGTCTAAAAACCGGGACTATCCCAGCCAGTCTGGGACGTATGGGACATTTGCCTACTGCAGGTTTCTCATGTCTTGCAGTGAATGAAATCACTGACCAGAAAGGTTATGGACTGAAAGACCTTAGATCTGATCTAATATGGCAGGGCTTGTG